AATGAGAGTTTTTCACCATCTCCCCTGCCCCAAAGAACACCAATTATGACAATTACCCATGCCTGAGAGGGCTTTTGTAGAAGTTCAGGTCGCCAGTGAAGAACTTCCAGCACACCTTTGGAGCAGTAATAATCCAGCAATTTTAGTCATGTTCATAAAAAACTTATATAAGAATATTCATAGAAGCTTTACTTATAGTATTCCCAAATTGAAAAAGAAACAAATATCCACCAATGGAAGAAGTGATAAGCAAGTTTTGGTATATTCATAAAATTGACAATTACTCAGCAATAAAATAAAACAACTACTGATAAATGCAACAACATGAATTAATCTCAAAAACATCAGGCTGAGTGAAGAAAGCCAAACAAAAACGGTACATATTACATGATTGTTTTAATACAAAATTCTAGAAGAGACAACTAACCTATGGTGTAGAAATCAGAATAGCAATTGGCTCTGGTGGAAGGGGTTGACTGAAAAAGGACATGAAGAAAACTTATGAATTGGAAAACTCTTGAATTGAATGATGGTTATATGGATTTACACATTTGTTTGAATTAGTTATAAACCTAAGATCTGAATTTGACTATATAAAAATTATATCTCAATAAAAAAGAAGAAAAACAAGGATTAGAGAAAACAAAATATATGTATATTCAAGTAACTCATAACAAAATTCTGGACAATATCAACATTATGCAGGTGGTGCATTGAATAAGATGAAGGAACATGAGAGTATATTAAAGTTACTTGCATTATTCAGGGGGAAAATATATACAGATATTGATAAACTTAAGAGAATAGGGGTAAGTAAACATAAGTAACTACTATGACTAAAAATAAAATGCATAATATTTAAATAATCAGAAAAAATTGATTTATCCATTGGAAAGTGGGGAAAGAGAAAAAAAGAAGTACAATAAATGACAAATTTGAAATATGTTGGAAAAAACAAGTCCTAATTTATACACCATCGTTGCAACAAATTAAATAAGTTAAACTCACCAATTGAAAGATGTTGCCATGCAGCTGTGCAGCTGTCTGTCCCCCCACGCTTAACCCTAAACTGTCCCTTTTGAGGACACTGTTCATACACCTTGCATCTCTCTGTTTGGCTCCAAAGGATGGTTAGTTAATAACGGGTAAGATTCCTCATGGGAGGAACAACCTAAGACAGGCACGGTTGGGTGGAGGCCATTAGGAGAAATCTCGGGGCTGACAGAGGTGGGCATGAGCCTTCACTCACCCCAAAAAAGACTGGAGGTTTTCTGCCTCTGTGGCTACATTCCTTCCTTCAAACTGCTTGGGAAGTGACCTGATGGTGTGATAGTATCTGTCCTCAGCACAATAATCTTATCTTCCTGGGGTCGTTTGCATATAGGGTGTGTGAAAGCAGCTTGAAGGGGTTCTTACTGGCCAAATTTGGAGTAACTTGAGAATCTTATTGCCATGGGTGGACTCTTGGTAATAGCAGCTTGCAGGCATGG